TCCTGATTGTTACTACCACACTGTTGGAATAATCAGATTCTCATTTTTCCACATCCTTACCAATACTTGGTATTGTGAGACTTTTTTTGTTATTTCCAATTTGATGACTGTGCAGTAGAATTTCATTGGTTGTTTTCATTTGAATTTTCCTGATTACTGGTGAAGTTTAGCATGTTTTCATTACTAGCTGTGTAATCTTGGGCAAATGACCCAATTTTTTGTTCCTTATTTTCCTCATTTGTAAAATTTCATTGGTAAAACCTATAATATAAGATGATGTAAAGGTTAGTTAATGCTAGATGCAGAACAGATTATGAAAATTGATTTTGATGGTAGTTGTAATCATTGCGGTGGTGATTACTACTACCACTGTTGTTATTATTACACTTCCCATTTTTGTGTGTTGTACACACACACTCACCCAAACTTTGCTCATTTTTCAGTTAGATTGTATGCTATTTCTAGAAATACAAGGATAAAAATGATTTTAAAAGATGGTGGAAATAGTAATTCAATGAAAAATCATTGCAGATATCACACACTGAAATCATAGCTTTTCCCCATCTGCCATTGTCATGCCTGCACTCATTTTAACATTGTCAGATTGTTCATTGAAGCTACACTAACACCTTTCTAAAATAATACATGAAAAATTATTTCTGTATAATTAGAATATCTTCTGGAATTGTATATACATGGATAAAATGTATATATTTAAGTATATAGAGATCATAAATTCTTACATTTGTATCATCTGAAAGAATAGTTGTGTATTTACTTGTTGAATATGCATATATATATTCATGAAGTTACATACATCTTGCAGTGTGTTTTTTAACACTAATATAATTAGCTTTATTTATCCTGGCTTTCTATAAAGTGTACTTAATAATACTTTTACTTCTCCAGATATCTCTTATAATATGATGTACCACATCACTTGCTGCTTATTCAGAGATACTGTATTCTCTAATACTAAAATACAGCTTCTAATAACAAAAAGATAATTCACTGAGTGATATATGTGTATTCATCGTAACTATATTAATATGGATAAAGAAAATTTAAAATGTTATATAACTTTTGGGGTTACTTTCATAATTAGTAATTTACATATAACCACTTAGTTAAAAGATGCAAATACCCATTTAAGTCATGTGCTCTAGTATATGTTTACATGAGGGTAACACATAATAGATTTTCAACAAATATTTGCTGGATGAGTGAATGAATAGTATTGATGCTGACTTTAGGTATCAATCTCACTGGAATTTTGAAATAAATTTGTTATACAAATTTTGTTATGCTTTATGCTTAGCTGTTACTATGTAAATCATCCAACATTACCCAGTCAAAATACCTTAATATTTGCTACAAATTGCAAACATTGTCACATGTTCTGTGTATCCACTGTGATAGTGGAAATTAATAGGAAATTTTTGAACATTGTCTCAATTAGATTGGGAAAATAATATAATCTTGTTTACTTTATTTACACTGTTAAGAATCCCTCAGTTGTAAAGGAATAAATTTATATCACAATTTCATGTAAAAAAAAATCTGTGTATTAAAGGAAATATAAGAATACTCAGTGGACATTTTATCTTAGATAATGAGTATCTTGATGTTAACATATCTTTAATAATTATTAGCATCATTATCTTCCTACAGACAGTATTTTATAATGTTTCATTATTTTGTTGATTAACAGTGCCAGTTTAAGTGCTCAAATTAATTTAATCCATTGAATTTAATCCAGTTGTTGTATGACTTTTGATTTGCTCAGGGAGAGATCACATGTGACTGATACTTCATTCTGAAGCTGAGGGCCATAGGGGCATTGATCACCCAAAAAAAAAAAAAAATCTTGAAATTTTTTTATAGAGACAAAAAAAAAAAGCAACTACAAACTCTTCAGTCCCGTTCAAGTAATATTAAATAAGTATAGCACTGCTGTAGTTCGTTTAGGTTATGTAAGCATTAGAAACATATAGGACAACAGCGTCCCAGGACAAGTGGCATTTTGTAGTCAGTATAAAACCAGGCAGTTTTTAACATATGAAGCCTTTAATACTGTAGGGATAAGTTTGCTGTCTCAGGTTACTCTTTTAGTTCTCTATTTGTCTAAGCCTGCAGTTGTGATCCCCCTAAGGAATGCTTTTAAAAAGAAGTCCTGAAGCAATAATAGCCACTGGTCAGTATCTACTGATTATGGCAGAAACATGATTGTATTTGAGAGCTTGTCTATTTAAAGGGCTGTTTTAAACTTGCTTTGCTCCAGTGATTCTTAGAACAGCGCTGCCCACTCATAGCATCCTTATCTTTATTTCTTGAACCCAGGATTTAATCCAAGTTGCATAAGACGAGAAATATTATGATTCAAAAATCAAAACCATAAATTTTAGATATCTGAGACATCTAATCCTAATTTTAAACTATCTTGTGAATTTGACTAGGGGAAGAGTAGAATATAGTTTAATGAAAAAAATGCAGAAGTATGAAAAAATGCAAAAGAATGAACATTATTTGTCTATGCTTGGGTTGGTCAAGAGCCTGTTAGTCAATTTATACCCATTGCTGTCGAGTCGATTCCAACTCACAGCTATCCTATAGTCAATTTTCAGAATAATCTTAATATATCCTTCAAACTACAGCATTTTCATCCTGTATATACTTGCTTAAACAATCTGCCATAGTGGAATTTAAGGCATACCGAAAAATTAGGATTATTTACTTAACCATTTCCTTGACTGGGTAAAATTTTTGGATGATTCTAGAAGCAATTTCAATATGGTGCAGATAATTAATTTGTTTATAGACAAAAGGAATCAACTATTGGACTGTCATTTCTTTATATAGAGTTGTCTTAAACTAGGAATCACTTAAAAATTAAAATTAATTAAAATGCTGATGTTTGCATAGCAAAGACATTGTGCTCTTAGAAATAACCTGTAAGTAACATTTGCAATGATTTTAAAAGAAGCGTATTGAAAGTCATGTTTCTTCTAATACTAGAAATGATGCTATTGTGTTGAGTAAACATGACAAGCTACTTGTTATCTCTCATAAGAGCATGATTTTCAAGTATAGTTATAATCTAGTTTCCTTAGACTATGTGTCATTTTAGATTGAGCGTACGAGTAATGCTTAAAACTAACTTATCACATGTTAGGTCTTCAGGTAATTTATTTTATCTTTTATTTCTCTAATATTCTTATTTAATTTTCCTATATTTTGTACCATTAAGAAAAAGGCAGTCTCAGTGTATTTGGCAATATTTTATACATTCTAGAACATGCTTGTAAAGTTTCCTAGATGCTAACATCTATGAACACGTAGCCCTTGCAAAAATGTGCTATGGTTGTGTGTTGGTTTTCCTGTAGAAAAGAAAATCAATACCTCATTTGTGATCTCTTTAACAAAGATTAGATGAATGAAAATAGTAAAAATAATTATTATCTCAAAATAAAGTTATACTTTTAGTAGTAATAAAGAAGCAGCATGGTTATGACCATATGATTCATTGATGATATTTAGCAGCCTGAGTTTGGAGGCAAGAGCGTATCACTCTATTTGATTGAAAAATATTGGCTTTATTTTTCTCTTTATTCTTTTTTTATTTAATTGTTTTATTGTGCTTTAGGTGAAATTGTACAGCTAAAGTTACCTTCTTCTACAAATCTTTATACACATATTGTTGTGTGACGGTAGTTGAAATCCCTATAATGTGACAGCACACTCCACCTTTCTACCTGGGTTTCCCGTGTCTATCCAGCCAACTTCTGTCCCTTCCTGCCTTCTCATCCTGCCTCCAGACAGGAGCCGCGCCACATTTGGTCTCCTGTATCTGCTTGAACTAAGAAGCACACTCTTTATGAGTATTATTTTATGTTTTATAGTGCAGTCTAATCTTTGTCTGAAGAATGGGCTTCAGGAATGGTTTTAGTTCTGGGTTAACAGAGTATCGGGGTGTGATGGCTTCAGGGGTTCCTCTAGTCTCTGTGAGAGCATTAAGTCTGGTGTTTTTAGATGAATTTGAGTTCTGCTTCATATTCTTTGATAGCCCCATTACCTGTAACCCTATTTTTATGTTAAAAGGGGCAAACTGCCAACACCTGACTACTTTGGTAGCTGTAGAATTTCAGTATAGGAGGGGTTTAGAGATTTGACGTGATGTTTGATTTTCATAGCAGAGAGGCACATTGTTTTTATTTCGTTTTTTGGGATGGCTTATTTGGGTGGAGGGCTGATGGAAGCTTTGGAAGGCTAAAGCCACTTTTTGGTACTGCCACTCCTCACAGTTTCAGGTAATTGTAAATGTTTTGCACGACAGGATTACCTTCTGAATAAAGCAAAAGTAAATATTTTGTTCTAAGAAAGTGAATTGTATTTAAAAAAAATTTTGAGGCCAGAAAAGCTAAGGTATTCAAAAGATCATGTCTTTGAAGTTCTTTAATTATGTGTATGCAAATGGGTGCTATTATTATGTAACTTGCAAATAATTCATACCTATTCTTCAGCAGTCTCAGCAGCAATTCTTATATCCAACTTGTTTAGCAGGTACAGTTAACTTATGCACTTTAAAGCAGTCTCACTGGATTAAAGAAATGCTTGAAATTTAGCATATTTTAGGAGAAATACATGTCCACTTTTTTCTGAATTAGTCCAAATTAGTGAGATTTTACTATATGTTTATTTCCAGTGATGCTATAGGTATCTGGTAAAGAGTAATTAATGTTGCACATTAGTTAAAAAGCAGCAATTGATTTTTGGTTCTATTTGGCTTATCTGTTCTGCTTAAGTGCTGATATTTAATTTGTAGGGAAACCTGTAAACCGGTCTATATTTTTATTTTTATCCTCTTACTTGAACTAATGAAACAATCACATTTATTTCTTTCAGAATGAGTTTTATTAATGTAGTTAATATGCCTTACTAATTTTATTCCATGTACTTGGATTAGTACCATTATTGTTCATGAGTCAACATTTTTCTTTCAGTTCAAAAGAATGTAGAAGCTTCAGAAGACAAGAAGATCACGCCTGCAAAGAAGAGAGTGAAAGAATTGAGAATTTTAGATCCCAAGACGGCACAGAATCTATGTATGTTAATATTGTTTGCATAGGGAATGGTGGTGGTGAGCAGTTGTTGAATGTATTTTTAAATAAAGTTGTAACTTCTTTGATCAGGTATATTTAGCATTTGTTAGAAATGAATATCTTTATAATATTCTAGGACAGTCTTAGGTCTGGGTTGCGTTTTTCTCATTCAGTCAGCCTGGAGAAAATTGTAATTTAGGCTTCATTACACCAGATGAAGCTTATGAATAATAAAATGTTGGAAAGTACTTATAAGAAACAATTGTTAGAGGACATAATGAAATAGAAGGCAGAATTGAAAGAAAAAACAAAACAAAACTTTTTTTTTATTCTGCCTGTGCCTAGAATTGATATTTTTAGATTATTCACTAGTCACATTGGACAAACCCTTTTACTGCTAGCCCTTTATATTTGAATCAATTGTGACGTGAGCTAGTGAAATTATTAACTACCACACTTTAAAACTGGGTAGTGATCCTTGAAGACTTTAACAAACCCATGAAACATTAAGTATACTTTTGCTAAATGGACTGGACAGTTAAACCTGTCTTCATTTAAGTAGGCCTGAAGTTTTACTTTGACATACTCTCCGTCTATGTTGAAATCAGAAGAATTTTTGTTTTAATCACCACACTAGACTGTATTTAGATTCCGAGAATAGTACAGCACTACACATGAGAAATTTCAACATACCAAACATTTCTAATTGTACACAGAAATACCGTGGGAGTATATATTCTTAAGGAATGTGCTGTAAGGAATCAGATTAAAAAAGACAACTCATCATTCTTGTGTCAGTAGAGATGTCACTGTCGGAGAACTAGTTGACTAATAGCTATTGTGAATGTGTACATTACTTACTGGATAGTAACATTTTGTTTATAAAGCTAATGGTCAGTACTTTTTTTCAAAACACAGTGTGATCTGAATTGCTAGTTGATATCTGTCAACGTTATTTTTTAGAGTATGGGAATCTCAGTTTGTCTTTAAGTCTAGGTAATCATTTTCCTGGATCACGAGGATTTTTTTATTCTTTTGGTACCAGGGAAGTAACATAGACCTTTTCATGGAATAAAAAAAAAAGTGATACAAATATATTTATGTTCTGGTGATAAGAACACATGTATGTTCTTTAAAGTGTATGTTTAATGGAAATTAAGGTGAAATATGTTCTTGAAAAATAACTTCTGAATACTCATGAACTTTTTCAGGTATAAATTGCTGAATTATTCCAACATGACATAATACATATGCAATTATGAAAAATTTGACAGGTGAAATCGTGATTCAACATACAAAAGAACTGATAGTGTAGCACGTGAATGTTAACAGAGACACAGAGAGCACTGATGATGCAGACTCTTTAACTTTTTCTTATGTGGGAAAATGGCAAAGTAGATTGATATTATATTTTTATTTGGTTACTTTATTGTTATTCCTGAGAATGATTGTGTTGAATGCACCTGATAATCTCCACACTAAATTCTGCATTGAATTAAAAGGCCAACTTGAAATAAAATCTTTAAGTTTTCATGGGTTAGCTCAATCTAAAATGTGTAAGCATATATTAGTGTTATTAGTAGGAGTTTTATTTTGTGTATTAATATGCATAAGCTGTAAACATTAGCGCCTGAGATAATAGGCCATTATCCCTAAATGGGTAGAGTAGTCCATCAAATGGAAACTACTTTTGTTTGTTCATAACTCCAAAAGTTAATACTAGTGACAGAAATTTTATATTTTGAGTCTATAAAAATGGTAATCAAGTATATATTAAAACTTAAATTTTGGTGCTCTTCTATTTTTTTTAATTTTAGCTATATTCCTGGGATCATATCGCATGCCATATGAAGATATAAAAAACATTATTCTGGAGGTTAATGAAGGCATGTTGAGTGAGGCCTTAATCCAGGTAACTTGGATATTTTCCTTTTTAAATTCATGTTTATCAGATTGCTGTCTTCTTAGTGGAGTTGTGAGAAAAAATACATGTTCTTCTATTTTTGGATAAAAGAATTAGGACTGTCTAGCTGTGATGATAGCAAGAAGAATCAGCATAGAAGACCTAGGTTCTGGTTCAAACTGCCATTTATTAGATAAGTATCCTTTTATGTATAGACATATCATTCTTGCTATTTACTGTGCATGTAATTAATACATTTCATCACTATGGGCTATGTTAAGTAGATATTGTTACCAACATTAAATGGATGAAAAAACTGAGGTCAGGAGGTTACATATCTTGTTTAAGGTCAGAGGAGAAATGGTGGAGTTGTCCTGTCTTAGACACTTACCATGTCCTGCTGCTGGGGATTTAGTCAAACACTTCATGTATTTTAGCTCATTTAATGCTACTACAGTCCTGTAAAATAAGAATTGTTATCTTCATTATATAGATTTAAGTAAACTGAGGCTATGAGAGATTGCCCAATGTCACAAATCTGGTAAGTGGCAGAGTAGTAAGAGCTGAGATTCAGAACAAAGTCTATTTAACTCTAAAGCCAGTGTTCTTTCTATTATAACATTCTGCCTCTCATGGGCAAACTACGTAAGCTTTTTAAGCCTCTGTTTCCTCATATGAAATCACAGGGTGAGGATTAAATGAAATAACGTGCTTTGTAGAAGAAACCACTATGCAGATCTAATATATTAGAATTCTTGGCATGTGTTGCCTTGTTTGTGTTAATTTTTGGAAGGAAGAACTGTGAAGAGTTTCCTGGAAGGGTATATTATAGTAGTAGTAGTTTTTTGGCTTTGTGTTTGAGTTATGTAATTTACTTTGATTTTAAGAAGACATCAAGTAATTTATGCTATCGCTTTATGACTTTGTAATACCCCCCTCAGACTCTCCCTTAATCTCAGAGATCTGTGTTTATAATATAAGCAGACCACGTCCATATGAAAGTTCCTCTATTTTGTAGTATATGTTTGCATTTTAGTTTACCTCATGAATATAATTATACATATTTTGTATATTAAATTAGTATAATTATTATGCATATGTATTATTTATATTAAATCTAGATGTATTTATTTTCCGCGGGACTAAGGTTGAATGAATGTATCCAGACTCTTAATTATCCCCCACGCATCTGTCAGTTTGGCATATTATATTGTGATGGCTTGCATGTTGCTGTATTGGTGGATGCTATGTCACTGGTATTCAAATACCAGCAGGGCCACCCATAGTAGACAGGTTTAAGCTGAGCTTCCAGACTAAGATAGACTAGGAACAAGGACCTGTCGGTCTACTTCTAAAAAAAAAATTTGCCAGTGAAAACCTTATGGATAGCAGTGGAACATTGTCTGATGTAGTGCCAGAAGATGAGCCCCTCAGTTTGGAAGACAATGAAAAGATGACTGGGGAAGAGCTGTCTCCTTAAAGTAGAGTGGACCTTAATGATGTGGAGGAGTCAAGCTTTTGGGACCTTCATTTGCTGATGTGGAATGACTCAAAATGAGTAGAAACAGCTGCAAACATCCATTAATAATTGGAACGTGGAATGTACAAAGTATGAATCTAGGAAAATTGGAAACCATCAAAAATAAAATGGAACACATAAAGATCAATATCCTAGGCATTAGTCAGCAGAAATGGACTGGTACTGGCCATTTGGAATCACATAATCATAAGATCTACTGTGCCACGAATGACAAATTAAAGAGAAATGGCTTCACATTCATTGTCAAAAAGAATATTTCAAGATCTATCCTAAAGTACAACACTATCAGTGATAGGATAATATCCATACGCCTACCAGGAAGACCAGTTAATATGACTGTTATTCAAATTTACACAGTAATCACTAATGCCAAAGATGAAGAAATTGAAGATTTTTGCCAACTTCTGCAGTCTGAAATTGATCAATCATGCAATCAAGATGCATTGATAATTACTGTTGATTGGAATGCAAAAGTTGGAAACAAAGAAGAAGGATGGGTAGTTGGAAATTCTAGTCTTGGTGGTAGAAACTATGCCAGAGACTGCTTGATAGAATTTTGCAAGACCAACAACTTCTTCATTGCAAATAATTTTTTCTACAACATAAAGGACGACTATACATGTGGACCTTGCTGGATGGAATACACAGGAATCAAATCGACTATGTCTGTAGAAAGAGATGATGGAAAAGCTCAATATCATCAGGCTAAATGAGGCCAGGGACTAACTGTGGAAGAGACTATCAATTACTCATATTTAAGTTCAAGCTGAATCCTGAGAAAAGTAAAACAAGTCCATGAGAGTCAATTTGTGACCTTGAGTATATCCCACCTGAATTTAGAGACCATCTCAAGAATAGATTTGATGCATTGAACACTAATGACCGAAGACCAGATGAGTTGTGGAATGATATCAAGGACATCATACATGAAGAAAGCAAAAGGTCATTAAAAAGACAGGAAAGAAAGAAAAGACCAAAATGGTTGTTAGAAAATACTCTTGAACTTGCTCTTGAACATAGAGTAGCTAAAGTGAACGGGAGAAATGATGAAGTAAAAGAGCTGAACAGATTTCAAAGGGCGGCTCTAGAAGACAAAGTAAAATATTATAATAACATGTGCAAAGACCTGGAGTTAGGAAACCAAACTGGAAGAACACTTTTGACATTTCTCAAGTTTAAGGAATTGAAGAAAAAATTCAAGCCTCGAGTTGCAGTTCTGAACGTTTCTGTTGGCAAAATATTGAACAATGCAGGAAGCATCAAAAGAAGATGGAAGGAATATCTGGAGTCATTATACCAAAAAAAATTGGTCGATGTTCAGACATTTCAGGAGGTAGCATATGAACAAGAACCGATGGTTCTGAAGCAAGAAGTCCAAGCTGCACTGATGGGAATGGTGAAAAACAAGACTCCAGGAATTGACGGAATACCAGTTGAGATGTTTCAACAAACAGATGCAGTGGTGGAAGTCCTCACTTGTTTATGCCAAGAAATTTGGATGACAGCTTACCTGGCCAACTGACTCGATGAGATCCATATTTATGCCTATTCCAAAGAAATGTGATCCAACCAAATGGGGAAATTATTGAACAATATCATTAGTATCACACACAAGTAAAATATTGCTAGAGATCATTCAAAAGTGTTTACAGCAGTATATCGACAGAGAACTGCCAGAAATTCAAGCCAGATTCAGAAGAGGACGTGGAGCGAGGTATATCATTGTTGATGTCAGATGGATCTAGACTGAAAGAAAAGAATACCAGAAAGATGTTTACTGTGTTTTATTGACTATGCAAAGGCATTTGACTCTGTGGATCATAAAAAATTATGGATAACATTGGAAAGAATGGGATTTCCAAAACACTTAATTGTGCTCACGAGGAAACTTTACTTAGATCAAGAGGCAGTCGTTCGAAGAGAACAAGGGGATACTGCATGGTTTAAAGTCAGGAAAGGTGTTCATCAAGGTTGTATCCTTTCACCATACTTAGTCAATCTGTATACTGAGTAAATAATCTGAGAAGTTGGAGTATATGAAGATGAATGGGACATCAGGATTGGAGGAAGACTCATTTGCAGCCTGTGATATGCAGATGACACAAGCTTGCTTGCTGAAAGTGAAGGGGACTTGAAGCACTTACTGACGAAGATCAAAGTCCACACCCTTCAGTATGGATTGCACCTCAACATAAAACAAAAATCCTCAGAACTGGACCAATAAGCAACATCATGATAAACGGAGAAAAGATTGAAGCTGTAAAGGATTTCATTTTACTTGGATCCACAGTCAACACCCATGAAAGCAGCAATCAAGAACTCAAAGGACGTATTGTATTGGGCAAATCTTCTGCAAAAGATTTCTTTATTAAAGTGTTAAAAAGCAAAGATATCACTTTAAGGACTAAGGTGTGCCTGACCCAAGCCGTGGTATTTTCAGTCGCCTCATATGTATGTGAAAACTGGACGACAGTGCATAAGGAAAAATGAAGAGAAGAATTGATGTCTTTGAATTATGGTGTTGGCGAAGAATATTGAACATACCATGGACTGCCAGAAGAATGAACAAATCTGTCTTGGAAGAAGTACAGCCAGAATGCTCCTTAGAAGCAAGGATGGCAAGACTTTGTCTTATGTACTTTGGACATGTTATCAGGAGGGACCTGTCCCAGGAGAAGGACATTATGCTTGGTAAAGTAGAGGGTCAGCAGAACAGAGGAAGTCCCTTAACCAGATGGATTGACAAAGTGGCTGCAACAGTGGGCTGAAGCATAACAATTATTGTGAGGATGGCGCAGGTCTGAGCAGTATTTCATTCTGTTATAGATAGAGTCCTTATGAGTTGGCACCAGCTGGATGGCACCTAACAACAACAACCACTTTATTATCAGGACATACCTATGTTAATCTCAGTAAGAGTTATGCTTTGAGAACAAATCCCCTTATGGAAAAGTTTTAGGGTAAAAAAAATTCTCTGTGCCAGATGCAGGTCCTTAGTTACTCTGACTTGAAATGGGAGCTGATCATGTTTGTCCTGTCCCTCTTAACCCACAGTTATTTGCACACTAGACAGAATGAGCTAGACATGAAGCCTAAACATGATTTAGTTTGCCCTGTTTGTTTATTCTATTTCAGGGTTTAATTTTAAAATACAAGAAGGCAAATAAACTCCTGACTCCTAATCTTTTATTTATAATCAAATTATAGTAAAATAGGACCAGATTTTGAAGAGTTAGTCAATATAGCCAGTATTTTACTTGTTAAAACACTGTAGCTTTTACTTCACATGCTTTGGTTAATAAAAGAGAATGTAAATTTGCAGAATGTTACTGTGGTATTTATTTGTCAGTAACAATAAAAATAGTTATTATTTTTTAGTCATGTTATCAGCTCTTTAGGGAATGTCAGACATAAACAGAGAGAGATCCTCACTTTTGAGTGTTCCTTAATATGTAACAAGCTTTTATAG